CGCCCCTTACGCTCATCTTGTTCGCAAACCTCCTTTTGTTACGGCATCTTAAACCTGAGTTTGGTTTTGTTTGTTTTTTCTTTTCTCCCGACATTTTCAGGGTTCTCTACTCCTGGCATTTCTTCCTTGACGCCTCAGGTTTCTTTCATTTGTGTTTTCTGCCTGCGTTCTTTGCCTTTTTCCTTCACACACCGTATTTTTTTTTGCATGTCAGCATGTGTGTTCTAACATGGGTGCGAGTGACCCAGCTCATTGCTTTGTGCTAACTGATTTTCTCTTTTTCCCAGATCATGTTTGAGACCTTCAACACCCCAGCCATGTACGTGGCCATCCAGGCCGTGCTGTCCCTGTACGCCTCTGGTCGTACCACTGGTATTGTTATGGACTCCGGGGACGGTGTCACCCACACCGTGCCCATCTACGAGGGTTATGCTCTGCCCCACGCCATCCTGCGCCTGGACTTGGCTGGCCGTGACCTGACAGACTACCTCATGAAGATCCTGACAGAAAGAGGCTACAGCTTCACCACCACGGCCGAAAGGGAGATTGTCCGTGACATAAAGGAAAAGCTGTGCTACGTCGCCCTGGACTTCGAGCAGGAGATGGCCACTGCCGCCTCTTCCTCCTCCCTGGAGAAGAGCTACGAGCTGCCCGACGGCCAGGTGATCACCATCGGCAACGAGAGGTTCAGGTGTCCAGAAGCCCTCTTCCAGCCCTCCTTCCTGGGTAGGTGTGGGCCGGGGTTGCCTCCTCGGTGTGGGGCTGGCGTGACCAAAACGAGGTGCTGCGTTGGGTGCTAACGAGCCTGCGGCTCTTCTCCCCAGGCATGGAGTCCTGCGGCATCCACGAGACCACTTTCAACTCCATCATGAAGTGTGACGTGGACATCAGGAAGGACCTGTACGCCAACACGGTGTTGTCCGGAGGCACCACCATGTACCCTGGCATCGCTGACAGGATGCAGAAGGAGATCACAGCCCTGGCGCCCAGCACGATGAAGATCAAGGTAAGAAACGCTCCCTCATCTCACGGCGGGGGGAGGCGGGGGAAGGCTGGGCCGCTCTGACCGTCGCCGCTCTCCTCTTGCAGATCATCGCCCCGCCTGAGCGCAAATACTCCGTCTGGATCGGCGGGGCCCATCCGTCTGGATCGGTGGCTCCATCCTGGCCTCGCTATCCACCTTCCAGCAGATGTGGATCAGCAAGCAGGAGTACGACGAGTCCGGCCCATCCATCGTCCACCGTAAATGCTTCTAAACGGACTGCTGGCGGGTGCGCCGCGCCTGCTGCATGAGTTGTCTCACTAGTATATGTTTGCCCAGGCAAATCTATACACCTCATGCTAGCCTCATAAAACTGGAATAAGCCTTCTTTCAAAAGAAAACTTGCCCTTGGAAAGTCTGTACCTGATGTTAAACAAATGTCAGCACTGGATGGTCGAGCTGTCACTTGATTTGACCTTGTTATTTGAGTTAACCGTTCCCTCGGTGTACACCTGAGCAAAATACCCTGTACAGATCGGCTCCCGGCCGCGGGGCTGGCGTGGCACCTGGCCTCGGAGGAGAGCCCACGCCTGACCAGGGCTCCCACAGCTCGTGACACTGACAGTGGCCCATCTCCCCGCGCCCCGGGCTGGGACCGGTGTGTACAGGGTATTTGGAGTCAGACTTTGCTGTACATCCAGTGTGGAGTATTCCAGATTTCCTGTAGAGGCTGGTAGGAGTCCATCGAGAATTCACTTCTGTCGCTGCCGTTCTAGCAAGGTGGGGAACCCGTCCCGCATCCGAGCCTTATGAACCAGTCTTCATTCTCCTCCCCACCTGTATCCCAGTCGACATCACGGGGCTGAAGTTACTCAACTTGAGTTGCTGAAACTTTGCATTTACACCTGTAAATTTATGCATCGTTTAATTTATGTAAGATTTTTGTACGTTGCCTTAATGTTCTCACATGACGGTAGGAAACCAAAATTTGTAAGTCATCCTAAAGTTGAGAAATTGTAATGCCCAACAACACATCATTGTGTAAGGAAAAATAAAAAAGCGCTGCAGTAAACTCCACCTGGGGCT